GATTTCTGCGATGAAAAAGTTCTTTATCGCGATGAATTTTTCCTTTAGATAAATACTAGAAAAATCGGTGACGGGTGGATAAAAATATCATTTATCGCGATAAATTTATCGAAAATGCCCTCATGGGTATGACTTCGATTCGAACTCTGAATTGTATAATTTCGCGTTGCGCAAACAAGGTGGAAGGTGAAACTTTGAAGTCTAAATAAAGTCTCAATACTGAATTTCAAAATATGATCGAAACTTTTGCTATATTACCATAGAAAAGTAAAAATATGCAAATCAATTTCTGAGCCAATCAAAAGATAAGACCGATTCCCCAGTTTTAAAGGACTTTCATGTACAAATACTTATATAACCTTCGAAAAATACGCATTTTTGAAACGAAAATCTTTAGATTTTCAGCGTTGAGAAAATGTCGTAAAAACGAGTGGAAGAGCATTTTGCAGTGACTATTACTATTATTTTTTTGTTGCCTCGCACATCAAGCATAATCCTTTTTTTTCACTTATTAAAAAAACAAAAAGAAATCGAACGACAGTCATCTACTGATTGTTTAGAATTAATTATTTCTTTTTCTTATTCTTTGATTATAATCTCATAATAGAAACGATAAAGTCATATAAAAACCAAATCAGTTGAAAAAAGTAATATAAATCATGAAAAGAAAGAAAAACACAGATTTTTGATACTGTGTTATGAGGTTTTCGCTTCATAAGACATTTATGTGCTTTGAACTCACTAGACAACTCCCTCATTTCACCTCACAACCTTTCGCTGGCAAAAATACTTAGAATCTCCAGAGTTCTTTTACTTCGGACTTTAATCGTTAAGCTTTGTGATTTAAAAAAGTTGATTTTTTGACAGGGAGAGAAGATGCTATAAAAGCGATGTAAAAAATTTTACGAAAAAAATCAAGTTCGATTTTACTGCTAGATTCTTCCGGAAAAATCAACGTCTACAACCCAAAAAGTCATCAACTCAAAATCTGGTGAACAAGGTTTCTAGCAATTCTAACTATTTTTACCAGCCAAAATGTCTCATGTTAACCAACGAGCTCCTAGTGTCTAAATATTGAAATGCCTTTTTAGGCAAAATGATCGAGTTGCTGGTGTTGTTATTATTACTGATAGCCACATCTAATATTCAATGCCCTCATTTTAATGGTGGTACAATCTTTTGGAAACCTGTTAACAATACTGATCTCACTGCTCCAATTCAAGTATCAATAACACAAAATTATGTATGGGTCTCTCCAGACGTATCTTGTCCGTCGGTTGGTGCTCTTGTTAATCTTAGTAGCAAGGCCGGTTCACCGCCAACTTCGTTAAGTTGTACAGCAAATTGTGTTACATCCGGCGGTTATGTAGCACCGTTAATTAATCCATATTGTACAAGTGTTAGTGCACCATTAGGTTTAATTTATTCACAACGTACAGATATTGTTAATCTAGACGCCAATGATTCATTTACTGTTGCATTCGTATCCAACGGTTCATACCGTTCACTTTATGGTAACAATACTGCGACAAATTGGGCAC